AAGCTTTAAACGAGGGTTAATTAACGTCATATGGCATTAGCGTTTCTCAACACGACGCATGCGCGCTCTGCTCGCGTACCTCGCGCATGCGCGCATATTATTGCTTTACGAGCCGCGCTTTGGACGATAAAAGCAACACTCAGAACAGTACTGCTACATTCTCTATCTTCCAGCCCAGCAAAAAAATGAAAGCATATTTTCTGCTCTTCGTTTTTGCAGGATTGCTTCCAGCATCGACCGCCGCGGAAAATCAACTAAGCGAAACCATCTTGTATCAAGAAATAGTTACTCACATGCAACAAAAAAGCGAAAAGCTTCGTCAGCACCCGCTTTTGGATTTTATCAAAGACGACGCAATCCCAGCGCGGCGGCGGATTTCCTTCGCTCCGTATCTGAGTTACATCGCCATGTCCTTCGCCGACGTCCTGGACACGTGGCTTCTTTTCCCGAACCCGCAGAACGAACTGGAGGAGCGGATCAACAGTCACATACAGGAGGACGACTACCACTACAATCTGTTTCTGCACGATATCGAGAGCGTCCTCGGGCTATCGCTGGACGATTTCGGATCGTATTCGGCGGTGATGCGGCACTTGTGGGGCGATGACTCGCGCGCCATCCGGCAGTATATCTACGGCTGGCTGGACTGCGTGGCTCGCTACAACGATCCGATAATAACTCTGACCACGCTAGAAGCTATGGAAGCCGGTGCGCAGGCTCTAATAGGAACAACGTCCAAGCTTGTCAAGCAAGACTCAGAGTTGAAGGAGCTAAAATATCTGGGCCAGGCACACGTGGAGCTGGAGAAGAACCACTCACAGTTTGTGTGGTTTGACGAACAAGCCACTGTTCCTCCACTAGGACACATAGAGATAAGTGAAGAGCAGAGAGATCATGCTCTGCAGATTACTGAGGAGATGTTCGAAAGGTATGGATGTGTCATGCATATTATCCTTTATAAGACATACATCACTTATACTAAGATTTATCATGCAATTGTGTTTGCTAAATGCAGGACACACAGAATGTTTGATGCACTCCACGCCCTGGCTCTTGCTGAGAACAGCATTAACCCTGAGAAATACATAGTTGAAGGCTACCCACCAATAAGATCATTTCCAGTCCATCATCCTAACAGGAAACTACACGTCAGTAAGGATGAACTTTGAGATTTGTGGCAGACAACTAATAATATTGACAATTAGTATAGTTTATTTGTAACATGTAGCTTTTGTATCATTCTCATGTGCAAAATATTTGTTGTATAATCAGCTGTTAACATTAGTCCAGTCTAGCAGTTCGGTGTAGGCTGGTTTGAGCTCACCCCATGAGAAACGGCAGAGCTCAACCTAAATAAAGTGTTCACATGTAAGATCTGATTATGATTATAATATAAAGGCAAACAAACCTTTGCTTTCGTCATTTGGCGTAACACCCAGGGCCGGTCACAGAATCCTGCCAGTTTCTTGTATAACTGTTGCTCTGTGTTGTACAAACACTCGCCTACAGAAGGAAGGGTCCATCGGAAATTAGTCACAATACGACACAACTCACTGGGATAAATCTCTGGGTATACTAGTCTATTGGGACAGAGAGGATAACAACCACAAGCTACTGCTTCCATCCTACATGTTAGTGACATAACTTAAACATCATAATACACAATAATGTATCATATAAACATCATGATTAAACTGACATTGCCACTCCAAAGAACTCGTGTTTGGCGGTTGAGACTGCAATATCGGCTTCCTTCAGAGCCTGCCAGTACTGCTCCCTCTCAAGAGGTCCATAGTGAACTACCCTTTCCCCTAGTCGAGACCGAGCATCACTCATACACTCTATGGAAAAATGGAAGACAAGCTACCTATAGTGTTGTTCAATTCCTTGCAACTTTATGCACTTTGTTACACAACGTGATTACACCACTGAGATATTGACCTGGTATATCAGAAGTGTGTGACCCTAAAAATGATACTTTGAAGTTTTTCTCTGCTTCCAATAGTTTCATTAATGTTGCGCAAAACTCTTCAGGTCCTTTGTCATGCTCCCTGGGTGTTGGATAGACCTGCATTATCACATATTATCACAGAGCAATTTGCAGCAAGGGTAAAACCGCATGGAGTCACCATGCACACTACAGCAATCGATCAACACGTTCTTGTATATATACCACCCCAGAACCTGAGTTTTGTCTAAATGGCACTGACAAACTCAGAGTGAAATCTGCATAAAACTAAGAGACAACAATAGTGGATGGAGGCACATATCTACCAGCGATGAGGCCAGACAATGTGGAGAGGCTGGGGATCTCCGGAGATGCCTGCACTGCCCTCAAACTGGCTTCTATTCCGCACAGCTTCTTCCTCATCCTGCCTTCTTCCCTGAAGGTCCTCCACGACAGAGGAGCTGCTGCGGTAGTATTGGCAGGTGAGAGAGTGTGGAGGGAGGTCGAGGGGAAAGTAGAGGACTTGACACTTGGGTCTGATGAGGTCAGCCAGTCCTCTGGGTCTGGAGTCTGGCATCAGTCTCAGGTGAGAGTCGATGCCGTCCAGGAACGAGTTCATGTTGAAATGAGAGTTGAACACAATGCAGTCAGCGACCAGACTGAAAGAGACAAACCCTCTTAAGAAAATGATGACACCATTTGGCTCTTTAACAGCAGCTCTTCCGGACTATATTACCCCAACAACACCAAATATTTTCAAAAAGAAATGCAATGTACATTGGCGACCGATTGCAAACTTTCCAGTGGTATTGCATTATAACGGACAGTGCTGTCGAATATATAAATGCAATTTAAACAAATAGTAGGCTTGCTTTGCTCACCAATCAACTTTATTATACTGTTGATGTTGCATCATGTGTACCAAGAGAGGATCTGGTTGTAGCCATGCTGGAAATCTCTCTCCTGCTGTCTCCTGACGGGGTACACCAACTGGTTCTCGTGGAAATAGAGAATCTTGTGCAGGCCGGCAAAGTCGGGTCTCAGGGCAACGAGCTCACACAGGTTCAGAACACTGCTGCAGAAGAGGACTCTGCAAAGAAATCATGGATACCCTGTACAAATTCTTTGAGCCTAAAATTCTATTATGAAACTACCCTCCAGTCAGTCTACTTCCTGCAAGCGAAGCAATGTGACAGTGACAACAACTACAAACAAGTAATTCTATATAGAGGAAGTTTCTAATACTGTGGGTTACATCACCATCTTTGCATGCACCCCTACTGATAACCCCATGTGGTCATTGTGACAGACTCTAGACTACTCTATAGTGACTCCATCCGCCAAATAACAAACACTAGGAAACGATTGGGAAATTTTGGGATCCACACCCCACAGGTCATGGTGTGGCAAAACTTTGTTGTTCGGACACTCATCTGTGAGTGTTGGAGGCAGTTTTAAAACACCGTCTAACTTGTAACTGTGGTGTGGAGGTAGAATGTGTGCGAAGCTGAGAGCAGCAACGCGACTCCTCCAGTGCCATTTGCTGGCTGGGAGAGTGTACAGGTCTCCCTTGAACTGCCCCACTAGCAGATCCACCAACTGCTTATGCGAGCCGCCGTAGAAAGGCTCTATAAATAAGAGAGGCCAGGTAGGTCCTAGAGTAGCCATCGGTTTCAAGATCCATCGCATGGCGATAGCCACACCCCCGTTTTTTCCTTACGAACTTGACCTTTCACACTTTGAACCGGAGGCTATCGTTAAATAAGAGAAGGTCAGGATACGAAATATTGAAACCCACGTGTGCTTGTGCAATCCAGAGTTGGTTGAGTGAAAGTTTACCGAGCGACTGAGAGCTCTCTCTGACGTTTTAACAAAGGTTAGTCAGTATTTTCAAATGTTCTTGTGGTAAATCACGATCCTAATTCTACTTGACTACGATCCTAACTCCACTTCGTTCTCCGTTAGTGGGTACATTAGCTCACATGTAGTAGTGTTTGATAGTGATCCCCTTAGAGCGTAGTATAAGTATCTTACTCCCATGTAGTTCTGTTACCCTCCCGTACGAGGGAGAGATGGCGACGGCTACGTCTCCCGACGAAGCTGCTGATCGCAACGTGGAGATGTGGAAGGTCAAGAAGCTCATAAAGAGTCTTGAGGCGGCGCGGGGCAACGGGACGAGCATGATCTCCCTCATCATCCCTCCGAAGGACCAGATATCACGCGGGGCCAAGATGTTGGCGGATGAATTTGGAACAGCCTCCAACATCAAGAGTCGTGTCAACAGACTGTCTGTTCTGGGTGCCATCACGTCAGTGCAGCAGAGACTGAAGCTCTATTCCAAAGTGCCTCCAAACGGCCTCGTGATCTACTGCGGGACCATCGTGACAGAGGAGGGCAAGGAGAAGAAGGTGAACATTGACTTTGAGCCATTCAAGCCCATCAACACCTCTCTGTACCTGTGTGACAACAAGTTCCACACGGAGGCGCTGCAGGCCCTCTTGGCCGACGACAACAAGTTTGGTTTCATCATCATGGACGGGAACGGAGCTCTCTTTGGTACCCTCAGCGGGAACACGAGGGAGGTGCTGCACAAGTTCACTGTGGACCTACCCAAGAAGCACGGCCGTGGAGGCCAGTCAGCGCTGCGTTTTGCCAGATTGCGGCTGGAGAAACGGCACAACTATGTCCGCAAGGTGGCCGAGACAGCGGTCCAACTGTACATCTCAAACGACCGGCCGAACGTAGAGGGGCTCATTCTCGCCGGCTCAGCAGACTTCAAGACAGAGCTCAGTCAGTCTGACATGTTCGACCCTCGGCTCCAGGCGAAGATCCTCAAGATTGTTGACATCTCATACGGAGGGGAGAATGGATTCAACCAGGCAATCGAGCTAGCAGCAGAGGTCCTCGCAAACGTCAAGTTCATCCAGGAGAAAAAACTCATTGGACGCTACTTTGACGAGATCTCGCAGGACACGGGCAAGTACTGCTTCGGCGTGGTCGACACGCTCAAAGCACTGGAGATGGGTGCAGTGGAGACACTCATAGTGTGGGAGAACCTGGACATAATGCGGTTTGTGCTCAAGAACCACGCGGCGGACCAGGAGGTGGTCCAGCATCTCAACCCGGAGCAGGAGAAGGACAAGGCCAACTTTGTGGACAAGGAGACGGGTGTGGAGCTAGAGCTGGTGGAGAAGCTCCCGCTCCTCGAGTGGCTCGCCAACAACTACAAGTCTTTCGGGGCCACGTTGGAGATAGTCACAGATCGCTCGCAGGAAGGGTCGCAGTTCTGTAAGGGGTTCGGTGGCATTGGAGGGATCCTCCGCTACCGCGTGGACTTCCAATCCATGGAGTTTGAGCCCGACGAAGAGTTCTATGATGATGATTACTGAGAATCATGTTGTTTCTGTTCATTTGTCACTGTTCGCACAACAACTACACGTGGCTTATTATATCTCTATTTAATTGTGTAAGATAATTTTTTATATGCACAGAGCTAGCTGCACCAGCGTAGTGCGCATGCGCATATAGTAGGCTCTTCGATCATGTGGTGCATGCATGTACGTGCAGTAGTCACAATGCGAAGCGCAGCTGTAGCTGATACTGCAGAACAGCAGATGCAGCGGTTGGTTGTGCCAGTGTGTGTGCGCGCTCTGCGCTGCTGAAGAAGAAAGTAAGGCTGGCCGTAAATACATGGGATGCGTTTTTGTACATGTTTCTATCGTAGCATTGCAACCCCCCCGTCTATTCGCTGTGAAGATAAGCGGTGCTCTTCTGGTAGGCTGGAGTATGAGCGGTGGAGGAGTCCCCACTCCAGTCCCTGAGGCATGGAGTCTCAAGAAACTCCGCTCCATATCCCGACCCTTCCTCTCACCTGCCCCCAACCCTACTCTGATGGAGGTTAACGAGTGGGTGTGGCCTTCCCACTGCCACCAGCATGCGGCTGTCCTCCGTCATGGACAGCTACTTCGGTGGATGGATGTTGCTGCATGCCTATCTGGTGAGAGGACTGCTCATAGCCCTCAGTGTGCATGCATAGTGAAGGTTGTAGTACTTCCTCGTGTGTCTGTCTGTCTGTCACAGCACTACAGGCTACGAGGTGGTCTATGAGCGATACGAACGGCTTCAGAACAACGGGAGCATAAAAAATACATGGGCGATTTTTCTGAAATGACTGCTTTCGGGATACCATGAAAACAAGGGAAGAAACCAATATGCTTTCCTGCGATTTGCGCTACATTATTGCATTATTGTAATATTATAAATGTGAGTGAATATATTCACACTACACACGCAATGTAGCGTAACGTGCCACGCAACACAAGAGTTCAGAATTTTCCAACTTTTTACGCGAACGTAACGACGTAACATTTGCCACAGTGCTTATTCACCGTTTTTTTTTCCAATTCTGCGCTTCTTTTACTTCTAATGACATCCCTCAGCAGCATCAACAGCAGCCGTCACACCCGTCGGCAGCATAGGTGAGTGGGTGTGGCCATTTCTCAAACCCGCCCACATTTATCCACGTAGCTTACGCGCGCGGCAATGTGGATGCCGTTATGCTACTACGTTGCGTGATGTTTACGCTGCGCTGCGTTGCGCTACGTTTTCAGTGTGAATCGGCCTTTACAGCACTGATTTTCTCGTTTGACTGTAATTACAAAGATTGTGTACGTTTGTGCTGCATGCTTTAGTGTAGGTGTAATGATAGTTGGCATTCTTTACCTTGTTACTATATACACCTTCTGTAAACCAGCCGAGCGACATGCACAGATGCCCTGCGTGACTGTGTCCGTTGACAACATCACATTCCAGAGCTGTGTCAAGTAGGTGACAGTGCTTTTACTAGGTAAATGTGCACATCTCGAATCGACTGTACCACAGGGTGGGACATGTTGTCATTCTGAAGGCAGTTGTTTACAGATCTTTCAAGAGCAGTTTGGAGGTAAGATCTTTGGTCACACGCAGTGACACAGGGACTGGAAATAATAGGAGGAAGCATTGTACTTAGAGCAGGAATGAACCTGTATTGTATATATATATATATATGCAATTGTCCTTGGGGTGATGGATGTATATACGATACTTAGCAGTGGCGGATCCAGGGGGGTTCCTTGGGTTCCGCGGAACCTCCCTTTTTGTCATTTTGTGCGCATGCGTCGCCGGCCTCGTGCGCATGCACGGACGCAGTCGAAAATGTTCCGGACAGCGGAACCCCCCTTTCAAAATCCACTGCTTAGAGTCGACTACATGTCTTGCCATGCTTGATTACTCTAACTTCTACATCTAGTGTGTCATGTTCTATGAACTCTCCTGTACTTTGTATGCGATAACAAAAAAGAGATATCAGCACAATACGAACGACTCGCCCTTGTTGCTTTTTACCTTACAGAAAAGACATCTATTTATAAAATTTTGCCATTTAAATGTGCTCATGGTAAATAAAGTTGTTGGAAAAGATTCAGTTGAGGAAACGTGACCATGTACAAGGCCATAGATGAGTAGCTAGATGTATTATTGTAGGCTTGTTTTCTCTGATTGCCTGTAGGTTGGTCTGGTGGTAGAGAGTGAGGATCCTTTCTCTGGGTCTCGTCAACACATCTGCAAGGCCTTCTTCGTGTTCGTGGCAAAACCAAGTGATGGAGCCAAGGTCAATTCCGGTGTTTCTTTAATGTAGGCGCCGCAACGTTCTTCATGATTCTAAATATGTGCAAAACACATGCGAAATTTTGAACTGCTCGCTTCACTCACCAAAAATGCGTTGCATTCCTTTAGGTTAGGGCTGAGTTCCTGTCGGTACTCCCTTGATGAGCACTAGTGTCTCCTGTAGTTGTCATTGTCAGTGCTACCGGCACCATACATTTACGTACATATGCAGTCTTTATGACACACATGTGCAGCGAGGGTTACAGTACTTGGTCTGTGTGTGTATCTGTTTGTCACAGCTACATAATATGCTGGCACTACAGGCTACGAGGCGGCCCATGAGCGATACCAACAGCTTCAGAACTATGAGAGCCTGAAAGTAAAAACGGCATTTTCCTGAAATGACTGCATTAGGAAAATGTAGCGTGAAAACAAGCGAAAAAGCTAATATGCATGATCAGCACTCGTTTACCTCGACCGGTTTTCGCCCGTTCAGAGCACCGTGAGGAGATGACCCAGTCAAGCGTTGCTCCAAACGCCACCCACTGATCCAGCTAGTCTGTGGAAACTGGCTCTGTTGGCGGGTTAGGCCGCATGGCGTGGCCCAGCCCATCAATTATTTATGCGCATGCGTACACATCAACGCTCGCGCGCGTTCCTAGCACCGAGGGTTTGCACTTTAGTGCTCTTCATTATGTATGTACTATATGGATATAGTTTACTAGCGATATCATGCAAAAGTGCTACAAGCCAGCCTAACTTGTATACACTGAAGGAAGCATCTATGATATGATGGCATAGCTGCGTCTTGCCGTTACCATCCTGTTTATTGTCGACCTAAGTGCAAAACCCTTGTTCAGTTGATTATAACCTTCGCCAATGAATAAAGGAGACCTCTCTCTATGTTGTTATGTGTGTGCAGGTTCAGTTGCCGACGCTTTCTCCAGTGACAGAAGAAGAGAAGAGAGAGTTTCTACTTGCAGCTGAAAGGAGAAGAATGAGGTCAGAGCAGAGTCAAAGGGGAATGTGACGGTGTACATAAGGATTTAGAAACTTAAAAAGGGCCTACATAGTTCAATAATGCAATTACATAGGTTAATATACTGCCACATTCCCTCACATGGTGGTGTTGCAATTCTTTTACTGTGTATGTATTGCCTTTCAGGACAACATATGCTAAGGATATAATGCGCCTTGTGAAGAATATTCACCGGGAGAAAAAGAGAACAAGTAAACTACTAGTGTGCACATGTGTGTACTGTTTATGACCATGTCCCTGCTCCTCAGGTTCTCTTCCATCTGTACTGCCATCCAGGTGTGTGTCTGCTGCTGACACTGCTGTTCACACTGGTATGGTTGTCCTGACCATTAGAGTTTATAAGCCGTAGTGTACTGTACGTGTAAATCTATTTCACCCAGAGGTCATGCCGTTTTTCTGCTAGTGTGCTTAGTGTATGCTTGTCTGTTTTATGCACAGTACAGATTGTTCTTCCTGTGCATGCCAACCATCATGGCACCACATTCGGAGGGCAGATCATGGAGTGGATGACTGATGTTGCCACCCTCTCTGGCCTGTTAGTCAAAGTTCTTCTGAACACAACCTCATACTGTAGAAAGTGTCTATGAGGTGTCCTTAGATCAGGGGTTATATTGTATTTTGGTAGTGTTGCGTAAAGGTGTCTGAGGTTGTCCATATTTAAACGTGTAATAATATAATAGTATTCAACACTGTTTACCCTCGCTTTTTTTGAAATAATTTTTTGGAAAAATCATGGACACACATGCAGATGTACTGTGAGCAGCGTATGTGTGATCATTCTCCTTCGTTTTCGTTTTTTTCGAAAACTGTATTACTGTCCTGGCCTCCAACCAAGTGTAAGAGTGTTCCCCTCACAATAGTAAACCTTGAAGATTTGTTGCTTCCTGAAACCTGTGCTTAATAGCCCCCATTGTGTCCAAATTTTGGTATCTTGCACTGTCCTGTCCACAAACTAAAGTCCGCATTTTTTTGTTCGATGGTGATGTATGTTAAAAAATCTATACATATGCTGAACCACGCAGTGATTTATCCAATTCTTTTTCAGTCGGCTGAGTCGTTCACCTCTGAAACTGGAAGGCATAGAGTCTATCTATTTCCGTGGTCCATCTCATGTGGGTGAGAGGGTGTCCCTGCGATCATCAGTTAATCGGACTTTCTCAGGCAACAGGTTGCAGTAGAAATATTTTGCTGAGTACAGGGGCACCCCCGTCACCCCCAGGTTTGAGGTTGGTGTTCGTGTGGAGGGCTACACAGTGGGAGGAGAGACCAGACACATTAATAGTGCATTCTTCACATTCCAGCTGGAGGACCAAAGCATCACATTGCCTCAGTTACTGTTGGAAACACCGGTGCATAATCCGTTAGCTAACTCTTGCAAAATGCATTTCAATGTCTCAAGTTTATGAGAGAACACATAGTTTGCTCGTTGTCACACTGGCTCCACAGCCTTTTACCCTTTAACTCTTAATTAAACTACACATTCATTCCTTGTGTAATAGAGTGCCACATGCATATAGCAGGGCTTGCCCAGACAATAAAGTTATGGAGGGATACAGTACATCTGTTGTCCCATTTTCGAATCCTACCAATGCCGTTATATAGCGTTAGGTTTATGTTACATGTCAGTAACATCAAAAGCCCCTCGAAATGCTTTGGACCCCAACGAGTGATCACTGTGTGCACTCACCAAACATTTTAGAGATTCTATTTTTTCAATTCCTGCATTTTGATATAATGTTTATTGGACCAGGTGGAAAAGGAGAGGGCAGCTAATGCTACTGCCAGGCACTATTTGTGGCTAGACAGGTTTGTTATCATTCAGTATATACCCATCGGAATGTTTTACCTTGTTCAATTTTGCAGAATGGCTATTCAGTTTGAGGAAAGACAAGTCTCCCTATCATCTGAGAATGCAGTGAGCTGAATTACTATTGCCAAACTTTAATCACAGTTTACACCTCCCGAAAGTACGTTTTTCATGTTCCATTGTCAATTTCCATTGGCTAGTCTAACCCCTAGCCGTACCCTCTTCTCAAATTCCATTGTCTGTGATTTATATGAAGTAATAACCCAAATATTTAGCCACGTATTGTCCGATATAAGCTTCTCTAGTGTTTTCCCCCTCGTTTAACCCTCAGTGCGCACACACAGTAAGGGTTACAGTACCTGTTGTTTGTCTGTCTGTCTGTTATCTCTCTTCTGGCACTACACAATCAACGAGGCGTCCAATTAGAGAAACGAGCAGCTTCAGAGAAACGAGCCTTTAATATGGTGATTTTTCTGAAACCATTGTGTAAGAGCTGTATGGTGTGAAACGCTAGTGG